GTGTGTGTGTGTGTGTGTGTGTGTGTGTGTGGACATGTTTTTGCTGCATTGTAGAGACCATTTTTCAGAAAACCACAGCCTCGTGGGGACCCAGTGCTCCTCGTGGTTTTGGTTCTCATGGGTACAGATGCTGATTTTGGATCGGGGGTTAGGTTTAGGACCAAGGTGTGAATTGAGTTTTATGGTCAGGTATGTGCTGCAGTGGTTAGTTGGGATATATATAGAAATGACAGGTAAATGAATGGAAGTCAATGCAAGGTCCTACGGGGATAAAAAAAACAAACTTATGTGTGAGAGAGAGAGAGGGGGAAAAGAGAGAAACAGTAAAAACTGAGTCTGACGTGCAAAAAAACTCTTTGTTAAGCTCTATTCTGAAAGATGACGACTCGTGGGGAGTTACTGATCTCCTCTGTTGCATCCATCAAACTGATTTAATTTGAAACAGACTCTAATGGAGCTCACTTGTTGATTCTGAACCACTATTCTTTGATTTATTGCAAATAAACTCAATAAGTGGTCTTTTTTTTCTGTCCTATTGCATCTTGGCCAAAGAAAATCAGGAGTGAAAAACAGTCTCAGAATCTTATCATAGCTCCTCTATAAAATCTGCAGTACCGGTATTTATTAAAATATAGAAAATAATTACTGATTGCAATTCAACAGCAGCATTTGTTGGAATAAATAAATTAGTACTTTCCATCCTTCATTGTGTTTTCTATTAGTTTCTGTGCATGATAACTCAAATGCAAGAGTGAAATTATTCTGCTTTTCCTGAAAATGCAACAGTATAATTTACTAAATACTGAAGTCATTTAAAGTTGCAATTTCTCAGGAACCTATTCAGCCACCAGCCTGGACTTCAGGACAACTAAAAGGCCCATTCACTTCTCTGGACCAGCCTGGACTTCAGGACAACTAAAGACTTATTCACTTCTGTGGATCAGCCTGGATCTTGGGGAAATTATAGCAAATAATCAACAGAACTCAGGAATCTGGAGGGACATAAGGCTACAGGAGCCTCTCCATTCAGGGCCTTAAAGGTCATCAATAAAACTTTGAAATCGACTCTAAAACAAAGAGAGTGTTAATGAAGCCAACACTGAGGAGATATGTTTTCGTTTTTATTGAAAGATGAAGCTGCAGCGTTCTGAACTAAGTTCAGTTGAGTGAGCCTGGCCTGACTAACACCAACAWACAGTTAAAATAATCCAGATGGGAGGTAATAAAAGGATCATTCAAAATCATTAAAGAATAAAAATGAGTTCACTTTAGATAAAAGCCTCAATGTAATCTCTTTACTACAGATMGAAAGTTAAAGTTTGACTCAGTCCCAAATATTTTACAATTCCAAGCTATCCAGATCTGTAGGAGAGGAGTTGTCGTTTCCACTGGGACCAAAAATATAAACTTCAGTTTTATTTTCATTGAAATTTTTATAGTTTGAAGCCAAATAGATTTTACCTCAGTGCGGCGGTCAAACAATAGTTTTCATGAAAAAGAATGATTACACTTCAACTGAAAGTAGATCCGTCGTGTGCTTTGGAATGGAAAAAGATGTTGAAGTGCCTGTGACATCATTTTTTTTATAATATAAATGCATTTGTGGAAAGATAACACTGAGAGCAAATGACAAAATAATTTTCATGCTGCTGAGATGAAGAGATGTTGAGATATTTGCATGTGAAAAAACAGGAAGTGATGTCAAAGGGGAATGTCTGCATGAAAACAGAGTTA